TCTCTCTCTCTCTCTCTCTCTCTCTCTCTCTCTTTCTCTCTCTAATCTCTCTCCTTCTTTCTAGCCTTTCCCTAATATAAACCCCATTAACCCACACAACACCTTGAATCCACATTCTCACTTCCATACTCAGAGCAAAAACAGAGCAAGAAAGCGAAAATAAAAAATGGTGTCTGATACGAGCGAGAGGAAGGCGGCGAGGTCCGGCCAGGGCGGCCCTCCGCCGCCGGAGCCGGAGCACCTCCCCTGCCCCCGCTGCGACTCCACCAACACCAAGTTCTGCTACTACAACAACTACAACTTCTCCCAGCCCCGCCACTTCTGCAAGTCCTGCCGCCGCTACTGGACCCACGGCGGCACCCTCCGCGACATCCCCGTTGGCGGCGGCAGCCGCAAGAACGCCAAGCGCTCCCGCACCACCGCCGCCGCCGGAGGCGGCGGCCATCCCTTCCCCCCTGCGGCGGCCCACCCCGACTTCCGCGGCTTCTCCGCGGCGGCTGCACCGGGCCTCGGCCTGGTGCCACTCGGCGGGGATCACGGCGGCGCCGGGGCCTTCGCCGGCGACGCGAAGTCGTGCGGCAGCTTCACCTCCCTGCTGAGCACACAGGGGGCGGGGCTGTGGGCCCTCGGCGGGTTGGGCTTCGGGATCGGGCCTGGGGTGGAGGATGTGGGCTTTGGGCTCGGGAGGAGTGCCTGGCCCTTCTTGGGGGCTGCTGAGGGCGGGCCCAACGGCGGAGGAGTCGGGTCGGGCCCCGGCGGGCACACGTGGCAGCTGGAGAGTGGGGAGGGAGCCACCGGGTTTGTCGGAGGCGGGGATTGTTTTGCTCTGCCGGATCTTGCTATTTCCACGCCAGGGAGCAGTTTTATGAAGTGAATTTTTACAGGGAATGTGTGTGTGTGTGTGTGTTTTTTTTAATTTGGATCTTTTGTGAAATCGGGTCGAACAGAGTAGCAATTTAGCGTTTACTTGTGTGCTGAATGAATCGAACGTTAAAATCGTGGTGTTAGAATCTTGCAGCTTGTGCATGTTTTTGGGTGTTAAAACGGCGATTAGTCGGAGCGTGCAGAGGTCGAGTTTGTAGTGGTTGTAACAACATATATGTTCTTGGTTTGTTACTATCATTATTGTTACTACTGTTATTAATTGTCGTCAAATTAGTTAACTGTAGTCTGTAACCTCTGCATAATTTCAAACTTACGGCATTGTATGTTTAATGATTCAGATATGCCAGTTCACAGCTATGTTTTCAGGTAAGAGTAAATGTGTTAGAAATTGTATTTAGATATGTTGGATGTCTTCCAAATTGTATGTAGAGACGTTGGGTAAAGGTTACAGAAATGGACTTGTCAACGAACCGATCAAACTACTAGTTTAATGGTTTACTGTTCCGACAGAATCTGTTGGACTTGAATTTAATTTATTAATATTTTTAAATGTATAAAATATTTTATATAATAAAAGTTATATACAAACTTTGTTGATTAAATATTAAGCCAATTTAAAATATTCAAACACTTAAACTACTTAATAATAACTCATATATATATTTATTATATTTAAATATCTATTTTTTTTATTTATATTAAAAATATTTTTAAATATATGAGTATGATATATATGAGTCAGAATATATAAATAATGGTAGAAAGCATATGATTAGCTAATTATTAGGTCTGTATAACGCTAATCTTAATTGTTATTGAACGAACAATTGAAAAAATTACCTTGTTCATCATGTATATAAGATTTATTGATTTTTTGTACATTTAACATTTTTTTTTTTTTTTTGCATCAATTTTTGATACAATTTTCATATATGAAATAATTGTTTCACCAAGTCAAATGCATGGTAAATTTCTTAAAGATAATTATGTCTTTTTTCCTTTTGCTTTCCACGATCTCTGTAAGAAATATAATCTGCTGTTTCCTTGCAATTGGAGTGCAACTTCCTTGCAGCTGCAAAGCATTTTCATAGCAGCCATTATGGGCTGATTTTTCAGCTTAAATAATTTCGAGGAAAATCTAGGGTAGTTGCTTTTAGTTCTTATAAATAGGGATGCATGCAATTTTGTATTTGAAAACATATAGAAAAATTGATACTCAATACATTGAGTTGTTCTCAATCTTCTTCTTTCATCCTAAAAGTGTCCGTTTGTGTCGGAAGCATTTTTGCTTACCTGAACAGTGAACGAGCAAGGACTAACAATCTCTTCTTTTTTATTCTCTCTCTCTCTCTTTTTTTTTTTTTTTTTTTTTTTTTTTTTTTTTTTTTTATCGTTTTAAACACGAAAATCCCTGTGGATCGAGAAGTTGGAGAAGCTCAAGGTTGGGGCACTCGACAAGGAGGAGAAATTGGAGAAGCTCAAGGTTAAGAAGGCGATCGAGAAGGGCAGCACAGACCGTGCCTAGAGCTACGCCGAGAACTCGATTTGTCGCGCCTCAGTGCCCAGGTGAAGATGACGGCAATCAACATGAAGGTGAAGATGAACACAACAACAAGTCGATGGGCAACACCGTCAAGTCCCTCGTCAAGACCATCGTGCTAGATTCTCAATCCCACGAAGGGCCCTGCCCGAGTTCGAGGGTCAACCGCGCCACCATCAAGCGCGAGAAGAAGATTTCTTTTATTATTCACTAGCAACGAGCGACAAATTTGTAGACTTCCGGTCGACATCTCTTTTCTTAACTCCCGACCACCAAGCGTCGAATAACATAAATTGGAAGGGCCTCACTTGCTTGTCCGACAAGCTATCAGCTTGACAAACTGGAAGGGTGGTTGTGGAATTCGCCCTTATCTACGATTCCACTGCACGTTTGTTCCTGAAGGCGACAAACTTAATTGATGTTTTGATGGTTTGGTTATGGTACAACAATTTATTTTATTTTATTTTATTTTTTATTTTTAAGTTTTGGTTTATTGTAGTTTATATTCAGTATATGTATCTTGATGATGTTACATTCTTTAGACAAAAATATTGTATGATGTTTGATTTATATATATTGTGAAAAATTTAATTGTGTAGTACGGATCAGCAAGCTAGTCCCCCTTTACTTGCCACACCGAATCTTCGGCGCAGCTGTAGGAGTAGGATTAGTTTAGGTTTAGGCGAGGGAAGTAGACAACAAGCGTGATGATCTTTCCTTTGCCTGTAGATGTAGATATAGTGGTAGCTGCTGCTGAACGGCGGAGGAACTTTAGGACACCCTTGGGGTAATGCGCCCCTATGGAGTTTATTGGTGGTATCTCAGCAATGGTCTTTATTTATGAACAGTTCCTTGAGGGAATGGCTTTCTATAAACCTCTTTGGAGGGGTCTTGGGCTCATAGGAAGCGCGTGCTGAGTAGAAGGCAAGGGATTCGCTGGGTCCACTCATGCCCTATAGAGCGTGTTATCCTGTTTTTAAATTGGTTTATTCTGCAGCAGCAAGTGGTGCTTCCAATATGGCAGGCTAGGGGTTATAGTCGACGTCGATTCGGCGTCTCTAATTCAAAACCGAACATGAAACTGTGTATCCGATGTTTATTAATAGGTTTTTTTTTATTTTTTATTTTTTTATTTTTTGCAAATCAATACATTTGGTACATTTCAACAGAGACCAGCTCTCCGAACATCACCAAAGAAAGGAGATAAGAAAGACATGAGACAATCCTTCCAAAAAGAAGGCCTCGTCAACAACAATACCCTACTAGCTAGACAGTAAGCAACATAATTCAGATTTCTACTAATATGGCAACACGACCCACATCCTAAGAGAAACAAAATAGATAATATGTCCGCAAAAATATGATACAAAGGGTCGGTTTGCGACATCTAACAAACAACAAACAACCGCAAAAGCGTCTATCTTGACATATTGAATCGAAAATCCTACATCGAGAGCAAAATGAAGACCAAATCGTAGGTCCAGGGCTACGGCTATAACTGATGAAAGAGCCCGAAATATTAGTAACAAAAGCAGCCCAACACACTCCCTCCGAGTCGCCTATCCATCCTCCTAGCCCTTAATATAATATTAATAGTTTGTGTTTGTTACATTAATAAAATAAAATTTGTCACGTCAGGGGAGCTGACAACCTAAACCTATTCATAATAAACTAAACATAAACCCATGATATTTATATTTTATATTTATAGTTTATACATCATACAGATGAATTTTACCACTACCACTTCTCATAATCCAAGACATGCTCTGTTTACTTTTTTAATTTTAATAATAAAATCAATGAAATCTATTCTCCAAAAGGATTGTATTTTACTTGGCATTTACTTATTTCATGGGAAGTTACTTGTTGCATACGAACCTCTCCCACTCTGAAGGCAATATGCTCCAACATTCACATAGTAAGTACCATACCATTCCCTCATACATTCCCTCGTACATTCCCTCAGCCATTTCAAGACCAATAGCGTGCACAACAACAAACAATCTACCCAATTCTCGACGTGGGGCCCGCAACTCGATCCGAACGTCATCCCTGAACCTCGACCCACCTCAAACCTCGACCCAGCTCAAACCCGGCTCCTTATCTGGCATCATCAATCTCCTCATCTCCATAACATGGCCCCACTTTCCGGCCCCACCGTACAGCTTCGCCAGCAGTACATTAGCCGCGCTATCCTTCCCATTAATTTCCAAAACCCTTCGAGCCGCATAAACCCCTCCCCTGACATTCTCGTTCTTAACGCATGAACTCAAAACGCTCATCCACAATTCCAAATTCTCGTCCGAAAAGGGTAATTCGGTAATTAACCCCTCGGCCTCCTCCCACAATCCCACCCGGCTTAAAACGCTCACGACACAAGAATAGTGTTTTGGGCCGGGCCTTATGCCGTTTTCCTTCATGTAATTCCAAAAGTACCTGCTTTTCTCCACCAACCCACAGTGATTACAAGCGGATAACAGAGAAAGAAGCGTAACTTGATCCGGGCTCAGCCCACTTTTCAGCATCTTGAAGAAAACTTGGAACACCTCGTGGGCCCTCCCGTGGTGAGCGTATGCCGTGAGCATCGAGTTCCAGCACATTAAGTCGATTCTGGGCAGGGAGCAAAATGTATGTGCAGCCGATTTTAGTTCTCCGTTTTTTGCGTACATGTCAACAAGGCTGCTGTGCACAGAAACGTCGGACTCATTTCCTGTTTTAACGGCAAGACAGTGAATCATTTCCCCCCGATTTAAAGTTACTAGCTCAGCACACGCACTTAACGCGCTACTAAGTGCAAAGCTGTCAGCTTTGCAACCATTTTCAAACATTTCTTGGAATAAACGCAGTGCATTCTCACTTTGACCCGTTCGAACGTGCCCAGCAATCATGTCTGTCCAAAGAACGGTGTCTTTATGGGGAAAAGAATCCAATATCTTTCGGGAGGAGAGAAAATCGTCATTGTTGAAATACATAGAGGCGAGTGTGCTCCCAATGTACACACTCTTTTCAAGTCCGGTTTTTTCTATCTGAGCATGGAGTGGCTTTCCATAGTCCCTAGCTGGAAATAGGCTCGTACCAGAAATAACAGCTGCAAAAGAGTACTCGTCGGGTCTGTAGGGAGACACTCCCATTAACCGAACAAACATATACATTGCCTTCTTTCCATCTCCACTGTCCGAAAACCCACCTATCATTGAGTTCCAAGAAATCAAATCCGGTTTCCTGATTCTCGAGAAGACATTGCAAGCCGAGCGGGTGTCCCTACAGCTGCAGTACATATCAAGCAGCGAGTTATGCAGAGGCAAATCCACATACGTGCCCGATATAAGGACATGGGCATGCACGATTTTGCCGTGATCATAATCCTCCAACTTGGCACAAGCATTCAACATGAGCGAATAAGTGAATCGGGTAGGATTAACTCTATCCCTCAACATATCCTTATAAAGGTCTAGACTTCCCATTATTCTACCATTCTTAATGTAGTTGGATATCATCGAGTTCCAAGCTATGTCGTCTTTATCCATCATGTTGTGAAACACTTTTTCGGCACAGCCCACATCCCCACATTTCGAGTACATACCCAGTAAAGATGTCTGAACGCTGGCATTGTTCGAAACACCGATTTTTACACTTCGCGAATGCAACACAGAGCCAAGGACCACGTCCCGAAGCCCGGCCGAAGCCTGCAGGAGGCTCGTGATGGTCAGTCTGTTTGGCTTGAGGTTCTCGTTTTCCAGTTGGCTGAGCAGCCGGTATGCTAGGTGGGCGTGGTGCGGACTACGTGAATAAGCAGAAATTAGGGCGTTGTAGGAAACGATGTTTGGATGGGGCATTTTGTCGAACAGGCGCTGGGTGTCCACGAAGGACCCGCAGCGTGCGTACATGGAGAGGATGTTGTTATGTAACAGCGGGGACTCTGTATCGGCGCATGGGGAGGTGATGAGGAGTGCGTGGAGCCGACGCGCCTCCCGGAGAGACTTTGTGACGGCGCATTTGGGGATGAGATGCGCTTTTGTTAATGGTGGTTGCATCAAAAGTTACCCCCTTTTTTTGGTAGTTTAACGGAGACTTTGTGAACACTGTGCCCCCCTTATATTTACTAGCGCTTAAAGAGAAAAAAAGAAAAAACAAAAAGAAAAGAGAGAACCTTCTCCTAGGTGCAAATATAAACGCCGTCCAGTGTTGCGCCGCCGCGCCGGAGAATGGGGCCTCGGCCTGAACACCTGCGCCTCCGCCGCCTCCTCGACGAGTCCCTCCGTCCCTTTTCGGTAAAAGTATCCCAACTACTTTTGCCCTTCTTTCTACCTCGCCATTCTCCGTCGTGTTCTGAACACTGATTTGTCTTTTGTCTTTTTTTTCAGGATACTACCGCCATTAATCTAACCGAAGAACTCGAAAAGGATCTTCTCATCGCTCTATCTCAGGTGCTATTAAATTTCTGTTTATCATCGTCGCTCTGAATTTTTTCTCTTCGATATTTTCTTGTTTTTCTGTTTCCGTTTTTGCTGGTAAATATTGAATCTGATTCTCTTTTCCCACTTTTAGGTCCTTAGACGAATTAAACAGTGGGCTTGTGATTTTGATTCTGATGAGGTTAGTGTACTATTTGTCAATCACCCAAGACTCCTTTTTTCTTTTCTTGTTTTATTTTCTGCTAAATATTTCAAAAATTTCCCAGTATGAGTCGGAATATGTTGTCAGCAGGAGCCACTGGCCGAGCCGGTTGACGATACAGAGTGTTCTGTTTCCTTCGATTCGCATACGGACAGTTGTCATAGTTCGAATAAGTTCGTCGGTGACTTGGTAAAAGTTTCTTATCTTGCTTAGTGTTGAATGTTGATCTCCACTGGATAGTAATACAAGAGTTGAATCATAGCTCTGCAAAAAATAATCGGATATTTATTCGTGTTAATAGCCTTTATGCTTGGTGGTTAATGGTTATGCACTCACATTCAAACCCTTATAGCTTGGATTTCTTCCTCAGACAACAACATATTTTAATTCTTCTGCAGATATTATTGCTTAATGTTGAAAGTCGATATGCTCAGCTCTTGGTCGAAAATATACTTGTAGCAATTTCCGAGTTTCTCCTTGTGTCGGTATGTTTCAATGTGATACGTGTTATCCCTTGCATTCTCGACGTTCCATAGTTCTTTTCAGTTCACTAATAATAACCTTTTCATTTGCAGGATAGTGGTTGGGATGATTTTATGCAGTCGTTATGTCTTTGCTTAGAAGGGGCAATTTCAAAATCTTTGTTGGATACGAAAAGTGCTAATTGGCCCGTTATGGCTTCAATGTTTCGTGTTTTACGTAGCATATTAAAGTTCATTAAGCAAGATTTTGACAACAAATTAATGGAAGCACACTTAGTTTCCATCATCTCGTTACTTCTAAATTTACCTTGGGATGTATTGAGAAAGGCCTATTTTGGTCAAGAATTCGAGACTCTTCAGGGGTCATCTAGAGATGATGCTTCACTACTACAAAAGGAGGTTGTTAAGTTGAAAGAAATTATTACCATGTTTTTCGGCAATCTCGTTCAGTTTCTCTGTTCTTTGGTGTCCCACATTGATTCTTTAGATGATGGAGGTGGTGTTCCAACAGTTATGTGCAGAACTATTGACCTCGTTCCCATGCTCACGACCTGGTGCAATACCGAGCTTCAAAATTCTCTTCATGTTCGCATCTCTCATTATCTTAGACATAAAGTGTTGGTAAGTTTTCCATTTTTTTTTTTGTCTATGAACTTATGGATAGGGCGCAACCAAACCGAGTGGCTCGCGAGCCGCTCGCTGGCGCTCGAGTCAAAGCTCGACTCGAGCTCGAGTTTGACCGAACTCGAGTCGAGCTCGAGCAGCTCGAGCCCATATTTTGCACTATCAAGCGGCTCAAGATACATGTTGAATTACTAAAGTACCCCTTATACATATTACTCTAGCATAACATATGCTTAATGGTAATTTATTTTCCCACTTAAAAATTTTCGAGCTGAACAGAGCCGAGCTCGAGCATTTTGATTTCGGGTTTGAGCTCGAGCGATTGTACTTTTTTATTGAGTCGAGCTCGAGCCTCATAAATCGAGCTCGAGCAGCTAAAAAAAAACCAAATCCTGGTTGATAAGACTAATGCTCGACTTGGCTCGGCTCGTTTGCAGCCCCATTTAGGGAACACTATAGGCTGATGCGATTTTTGAAATGCCGATTTAGAATAGATGAAACCGCGTTTGTATGGTTTGACAAAGGTTTCATCTTATGCATTGGCGTTTAGTTGCATGCACGTTTGTTTGAATATCATTTCTCTTTCTCCCCCCTTTATTTTTTGTAGTTTGTCATATTTCTTGATGAGATCTATTACTAATGCACAGATGCTAATGGTCAAGCTGAGCTCTAATACTCTCATCGAGCAAACTATACATGTGAAATGGGTAGATCATTTATCGAGCCACTTTCAAGATCTACTATTGCAACCGATATCTAGGGGCGAATCTGACCAAGTTGATTTTTTAGAAGGCTCGCCATTCTGTACAAGCATTGTCGATCATGACAGTCAAAATGATGTGCCGAGTCACCATTTGCAGAGGTTGACCGTTTTTCTGTTCTTGAAGTGTTGTCTAAGTCTGATTGGGACGAAAGGACATCTGAATGTGGATTCAGAATGTTGCACTGAAAATATGGGATTAGCTAAGCTTTACGAGTGGTTCCGAACTCAAATTCCCCCTGATATTCTAGTGAATGATGAGCTGTATTTTGATCGATGTGTGAGATTTACTTTCTCCTTCCTCCAGCTATTTATGCCTGAGGTTTGTTCTCAATCTCGAATTCTGAAAAATCTATATATAAAGTTACTCAATGTGTTTTTCTTTTTAGCTCGTTTTTTGGGCATTTTCCTCTATAGCCACTTGCACTCATTTGTAACCAGTTTATTTAAATTATTAGCTCGTTTTTTTTTTTTTT